AACTTTTTTGTATGAGTAATTTTTCCATTTCAAAACAGTTTAATGTAGTTTTAAACCAAGTTCTAACTTGAAAACCTAAGGTTGTCAATAAAATGAAGTCTTTAGCTTTAGTAAACAAATTGCTATATATCAGCTACGTATGACTCACTTTTTGAAGTTACCTTAAAACTTATTACAATGATATTTTTTAATTGAATATTTTTAAAATTTTCATTCTAAAATGCCAATTATTATTAAAGTTAAAAATAAACTTATTAGTTTTTAAAAATATTTTTGTAAAATACTTTCAATGAAAGAATGACATTAATGAATAAATGCTATAGAATGCTTTATTTAAATTTAACAAAAAATGAAGCACACTTTATTAGCCATTATATTTTAATTTAATTATTTGGTGTTTCTGACATTGTCAAAAACATTCCTTAAAAAATTTTCCATTTTGCAAACATTTAAAGCTAGAAATAACACGCACGGCTCGTGCTCTGAAAATTAAATTTTTAGTTATAAAACTTTTTTGACTCAGTCACCATCGAAACAACCATTGGATTGATGAGGTTTAATAAGCGTACTCACGATCAAGACTTAATCATTTCACATGTTTTTAATGTTTGAAACTGGCCAAATTTCATTTGATACTGTAGAGAACTAAACTATTTCAACCACGCTTCATATATAAGTGTTGCTGGTTATTTGTTCTTACAACACAGGGAACATTATTTCGAATGTGAATTATAAATGCATCATCTACTTTTGCAGATATTCTTTCATAATACACGTTTACACGTATAAATTAATGATAAATAAATAAATAGATATATTCATATAATAAGTTTACGGACGAAAGTGTATGTGTATGTACTTTTGTATACACTGTGTAATACACAGACCAATGAAGGCTTACATACGTACACATTCAAGTGCACAACACACACATAAATAAAAAGCACTTAACACATACACGAAACATATGAACATGCATACATAGATCACATACCTACTTGCATACAATCAGACAGAGTAACACACAGGCTGACATAAAACAGGCAGACATCTAGACAAGCATACTGCCGACGAACACACAACCAACAAAACACGTGCACACATTCGTGACCAAGCATCTACTTGTGATTGGCATGTTATCACAATGAAACAGCAACATCTAAGTCAACGTTTGGAGAGCAAATGATGACGACCGACAACGATGATGACGATAGCAATGATAGTGGTTCTAATGGTAACGATAGTAAAGCCAGTGGTGGTAATAATTGTGAACATGTTGATGTGATGATGACGCAGATGATATAGGTTGTTGAAAAACTCCTGTTAAAAATTTAGATGAAAACAAAAACTGTATCTTATTATGTAAACAAACTTCCATTTTAAAGCGTAATAATGCATTCTGAAAAATATTTCCAAGAACCTCCATGTGCAAAAAACATTTCCATTAAAAATAATCTTTTCAGACGCATGAAATAAAAAAGGAATTAGCATGAATTAATAATTAAATAATTATTTGCATGTGTTGTGGCAGGAGCCCGCGCTGCGTATAAGGCGAGTGAAGCAACGACGACGGCGTCAGCCACGACATCAAAAAAAAACTTTTTTTCATCATTTTTTTTCTCGGAGAGCAGTGCATAATTAAGATAAGCAGAGAATTATAAAGACTTGTCACTCAAGTGCATTTGTTACGTAGGTTCAGCAGCACGATTATTGCACTGGTGATGATGCGGGAAGATGATGTTGACGTTGTTGTTGTTGTTTTCTATGTTGTTTATGTCATTTTTCAATTTATTATTATTATTAATTATTAAATATTTGGTTTGGTTCAGATGAAAAGTATTGATTGGACATGCTGACAACATATTTGGGATGTGGTGTATTTAAAAAGATGTGAATTTTGTTGATTGTTTGGTTGAGATTTATTTGAGAGGGTTTTAATGGCGATGACTCGCTGAATATTTCATCTTCCTGAAAATATATTTTTTTTGTTTAAACGCGCGTGAATATGTAATCTATGACGACGACGACGATGGTGAGGATGGTGACATAAGTGATGATAGCAATGATGATGGTGTTGTCGTAAGTGATGATGATTATGACGACGACAAGTTTGTTTGCTTTTATTAAAGTTTTATTTGCGTTACAATTTCAATTGAACTAAGCTCGTCTTATTATTTTCAATTTTTTCGGCAGCGTAGATATCTTTTGAAACGATAAAAAAAAAATAAAAAAAATCCTCATCTAATAATTGGTCAAGAAGAATGTAACAAAAGCGATGACGGATGATGATGATGGAAAATGATGACAGATGAGATTTGTAATGATGAAGTTTATGTTGCTGGTGGTGGACAGTGTTGATGAAAATTACAGAGGCTGGAATCTAGAATTGCTGATGACGACGATGACGAAGATAATCGAATTATTGTTTATTATGCTTGATGTCATTCCGAATGTATTATCATCTGTGACATGCATTTGACATTTTCTTAATATTCTCTTCCTGCTAACTAAATCTTGCCATTGAAATATTCTTAGAAATTGAGATTTTTAGTTTAGTTTTTTATTCTATACCTAAAGTTTAATTAAATATGTGAAAAATTTGTTAAATAATTTTTTTAGAAATGAAAAAATTGAATCAGGCAGATTCTAAGTAAATAGCAGATAAAATAGTTTTATAATTTATTGCAGAGCTCTCAACAACTTGCCAAACATAGTCTCAGACTCGCGTATCGTTTTTAAGTGTTTGTTATTCTTCGTTAACATTTTTCTTTTCAGCGCCACTGCTTCAAACGATCGTTCTTTTCAAGTTTCTCAGCTCTGCGCTTAAATTTATATCCAACTATTCAGACTGAAAGTTTGCATTTGATAAATTATACAAACGCGGAGATTGAAAAATGAACATGGTCAGAAGTTAGAACTGTCTTATTTTGTGTTTGGCAGCTGCCTTTGTTGGATGGCGGTTGTCACTTTGGTCGCACTCCCGTTTAAAAAACTTCTGTTATTATTATTAAAACCAAATGTTACCATAAATTAATGTCTCTATTGAATGATGATGGATGTTTTTATTTATTCAATAACTTTTATTTCGATAGTTCTAATTTATTTATAGTTATTTTAGTTATAGTTAATTAATAGTTTCTAAAAATTTTACGTAATATAGATTTCAAAAATATATTTGCATCCTAGATTCAAGGTCTCAAAACTTTCGCATTCTTTAACAAATAAATATTACAAAATGCGTATATGAAAAATTTTATTTTAGCGTTTTACTATACAATTTTTTACTCATAGAAATAAAATTTTGTTTGAAAAAAAAACAAATGAATTAAAGATGAACCTAAACAAAACCAATTGAACGCAGGTTTACCGCGTCATCCCATTTATGGATTGGCGTCAGGGTCGCCGAGTCACCTTTACCCAAATGCAGAGTTCCCCCATCTGTAAGTTCATTTTTATTTCAATTATTCCTCGTCTCAAATGTTTATTTTTTTATTTCATTTCATTATCATACCATCTTCTCATGTTTTCATTCATAACTTCGTTTATTGACATTCTTTTTATTTCTTTTTATAGGATTTTTTATTTTTGATTTAACGATTGTAACATATCACGAAGCAGCTTTGTCTACGTTGAATTATTAACCTGAAAAATCAAATCTCTTAAAGTGTTGTTTCCATTGTTGACATGGCAAACTCAATTTTTTTTTCATATTATTTGATTTCAAAATTTGATTTTTCGCAAATAAAACATTGTTTGCAAAATAAATTAATAATAATATCTTGCGTTTATCAATGAGAAGTTTAAATATAAAATATTCTTCGGCAAGAAAACAAAGATCTCGACAGATATTTCAATGCAAACTAAAAACAACAAAAGTAATAAAATTGGTACGTGAAGTTGATGTTAATATAGTTTGGTCAGGTGTGAATATTTCATGGCAGGCTTCACATCCCAGGTCGCAGATTCATCATTTAGTTGAATATCTAGTTAGGCCGTTTGTTAGACACTGCTTGTTTATTTTTTATCGGATTTTCTCTCGCTCTATGATCTTCATTTTTTTCTGCATTTCAAAAAATTGTTTTCTAGATTTTTGGTCTCAATCTAATTTTTACACTTATTTACAGGCAGGTAGTTTGATTTCAAAATAAAACAATCATAAATAACATCATGATTTTTTTATAAAGGCAAAAACAGTTCAAATTATTTTATGCCAGTTAAGTTAATTTTTGTGAAGAATAAAAGAGAAAAATTTGGAGCAGCAATGATAAGGAGCTTGCTTTCATCTGCTTGCTCCTTTAATTTAAGACCCCTCTGTGTATTCCATGCCATTCCACTGGAAAGATTGCACGTATATTATCCAGATCCGATCAAAGAATACTTCTCTCACTTTTTCAACATTTTTTTCGCATTCAATTTTATTTCTTTTTTCATTCCTTCTATTGTCATTCATTTTATTTAGCTGAATTATTAAAAAAAATTTATTTATGATTATTTTTTTATGAATTCAGATTTATATTTCCAGCAGAAAACTGGACTTTTTCAAAGATTTATCAAACTTTTTAAGTTTTAAAACATAAATTTTAATTTTCAAGCACGATATAAATGTGTGCAGGCAGAAGCACTGGAGCACTCTACTTTGATCTTTCAGCATCGCATCTCTCTCGGCTTCTTTTATTTACCGAGACTCGTCAGTCACTTTACTTCTTTTTACTGGATTACAATTTAATTTATTCCCGCCTGTCCATGTTTCGCGTCTTCGCATGCCTTGCTCAACAATGCAACTAACTGACAACAAAAGAAAACGCACTGTATGGGATGGGATGGGGTTCTGGATACTTATTCTAATTTTGTAAATATGTAGAAAAAGTTGATTAATTTGTGTCGATTTATTATTATGTATAAAAATAAAAACCCTTATTTAAATTTAATTTATTTTCTTTGAAATGGTGAACAAACGTGATTAGTACTGCTTTCTTCTAAATTTGAAGCGTTTATTTAAAATGTTCACAAAATTGCGACATGTGTTTGTAACAGAGGGCAGCAAGCGAAACCACGGACGCTTGTGTGCTCACGTGAGGTTCAACATTGTTGCAGGTTGCGTGTCTCTATAATGATGCGAGTCAGTCGACTTGCTGTCTCTGTGAGCTCGGGTGCGCTCTAAGTGATTACAAAGGGAATGAATTATTGCATTATTAAGTTTATATGAATGGCCGAGTAAAATATATCTTCATTTGTTTTTGTCACAAACTCAGAAAACTTTTTCAAGCACGAGATGTTTTTTTTAATGACGCATGTCGAATGTGGATAACTTATTCAAGTGTGTAATACATTACGTCAAATATGACAAATACAATATTAATTACATTTAATGTAGAAATCGAATGTTGTATTCACACACTAACTACCTTTAATAATATGCAAGCAGTTGAAACAAAAATCATTTTGTTTACAGTTCAACCCAGACATTTGTATGCAGATTCAAAATAAACATTAAACTGAAGATGATAATACATTTGTCATTATTTCATCATCTTCAAAGCAACCACCATCGTCACCATTTTCGCCGCCATCAAATCATAACATCACAACCATCATAACCATTGTGATGTTAAGCATCTTCTTTACCATTACATACCTCACGAACATCCGATTATCATCATCATCATCATCATCATCATCATCATCATCATCATCATCATCATCATCATCATCATCATGACAAGCAGGAGCGGTCCCACAGGCCCCCTACACAGCCCATACTCTCCACCAACATTGACCGGTTCGCCACTCTCCTGGTTCCCCAATCCGTCCATCTTCAACCACAACTTCGCCCTCACTCACCCTTCCATCCTCACCAATGCACCAAACGGCTTGCATGACCTTTCACCTTTGTCCGAATCGTTGGAAACTTCACAGTTCGTTTTTTTCTACTTTTTATTAATTCATTAAATTTAGTTTGGCTTTGTTTGTTGTTTGTTTGCGTCCTTTTGAAATTCTTTGTTTAGAAATATTTTTTCGTAGCTGGTGTCTTTGATTGTTTTGTGTCCTCAGTTATTTTAAACGTTTCGCTAACTTTTTTTATAGTTTTTGGTTAATTTGGTTTGGTTGATTGTAAGACATTTATTTCAAGTTTGTTTGCATTTATGACTTTCAGTTTTTATGCTCTGCTGTTTAACTGATGTATTTATTTTTAAAAGATGGCGCTTACAATCGGTTCGCATCCGACGCTGACAGATAGTGATGATGATTTATGAATGTGCGTGCATGCTTGCGTCCTCCAACATGCATCTCTCTCTCTCTCTCTCTCTTGATGTCATGAATGTTTTTCTGCTGCGCTGTTAATGTTATGTGTCAAATCATCGGGTGTTAATGTTATGGATGGAAGTGACTTTGTTCGTTGTAGATGTTATTAGATGAAGTAGGTTTGTTACATCGTAGTTGCAGACTTCTTGTCACTATTTGTCATCGGTGATTTGTTGTCTTTGTATCCACTCCATCTTTTATTCATTCATTAGTGATAATTCTCTTTATTCACTCCACTCTTCATTCATTCATTCATTCCTTCTTTCGTTCGTTATTTATTTTGTCTTATCCAGTGCGGTTTTTCTTTGTTGTTAATTAGTTTGACGCACTTCTTACTTACTTCGTTTGCTACTTTTTTTTAACTTATTTTACGAAGTTTTGAAAAATTTCCTGAGACAGCATCCATTACAAAATTTTTGAAACTGCACAGGCACTATCAGTTTAGACGCATTAATAATTCGTGTTAGACGTTTACAAACAAAGGATGCCAAACAACCTGAAGAACATGAGTGTTCGATTTTTGCTGCAGTATGTTGGCTAGCAAATTTTTTTTAAATTTTACGTCTTGCATTCGATGACAACTGTTTAACAAATTTCAATAATAGACTGAGGCTTTCCATAAATTTTTATTTTTTGATATGCAGTGGCGATGCCTGTCGCGCTCATAAAGAATAACACAATCATCCTTAATGGCTTGTTTATTGGCAATAATGGCTCTCACCTCCTCGAACGCACAACAACACGCAGGCACAACAACACGCAGGCACAACAACACGCAGGCACAACAACACCAGCCTCCATTCACATGAACGTGTGCAACTTAAGGTTTTCCGTGTCTAACAATGCCTAGGTGCAAACGACGTACTGACGATGCTCGTTGGTCTGATCAAGTCCTTTTCTACTGTTAATGGGGACAATTTCTAGTTTAACGATTTTTATTGAAAACATCACACGTTATAAAAGTTTGCTCATTAAAAAATAATTCCCAACGACGTAATTTTTTCGGAAGGGGTCAGCTTAATGATGGGCTGATATTGCAACTGGAAGTTATCTCACGTATTGAACGATTATAACCAAAATGAAAAGCACCGCAAAGTTCAAACAGACAAATTGAAAAAAATACTTTACAATATGCAAACATTTATTTACAAATTGAATTGTAATGCCAAGTAATTGCACTTTTTTGAAGGGAACGGGAAAATGCAGCACAATTGTATGAGTCAATTGAATCTATTATCACAATTTTTACATATTTTATATTACAGTTGAAGTAAAACTTGCAAATACTGAAAAAAAAGATCGGGCGTTAAATAACGGTGCATTTCCATGATGCCCACACTATAGGTAGACAAATCGCATTTGCAACAAAATTTTAACACAAACATCAATGCAGACCGAGACACAAACTGAGACACATACACAATTTGAGACACCGACACCATTTAAGACACATACACAATTTGAGACACCGACACAATTTGTGACACATTTACAATTTCAGACACATACACAATTTCAGAGACAGACACAAGCTGAGACATTGACAAACTGAAACGCAGACACAAACGTAAATGCAGGCCGAGACACAAATTGAGACGAAGACACAGAAATGTTGGCCGACACATGGACTAGACAAGCTCGCACATGAGAAAGATATGTTTCTTTGGCTGCCCATCATTGATTCATATTTCCTAAATAAACAACCTTCTGTAGACAATGTTTATTAGACAAACGTAAACAAAAAAATTATTACCTTCGTTTCAACGTTATAATGTTCAATCAGCGCTGATATTAAGCAATCAAATCTAGAAGCATACAGGTCAAACAGAACTTTAAAAAGCTGCACTTACATGGTTTTTTTGCTTGTTGACAAGTTTGGGTAGGTAGTTGCCATTTGAGATGATGTACGAGAAAAAATGTTATTCACACCACTTCGCTTTCTTTCGCATAAGAAGGATTATTACAAGTGCATAATTTATAACAAAACAACTTTATCTATTTCCATAATTTAAACAAGAATAAAGTTCACTCGCACGTTAATAAAAATTTATAAGTCATTGTTCTGACGGATGGTGTTGATGTGGTAAAAAACTGTCGTTGTTTTCTTTATACTTTCATATTTCGGCTCTAACATTTTTCTCGTTCATACATTCGTCCGTTTGTTCCTCCACTAAATTTCATTGTTGAGATTGGCTGAAATAGTTTTCAGTTCAAATTTTTACAAATTTATATCGAGGTTCCATTCATTTTAACCTTAATTGTAACAAAATTTTTCATTGCGGGTGGCTCAGTCCTAATGTTCCCCTGGTTAGTGTTACGGTTAACAAAATATTTCAGAACAAACAGTGCACAAAAAGACATACTAATAAGAAGCATAATCATAATAATTTAGTGCGTTTTTCGTCATTATCATCTTTGTTGACTATTTTAGAAGTGTGATTAATTAATTAATTAGTTAATTTATTGATTTATCACATAATAAATATAAAATTAACACCATCATTATCATCTCGTTACCGCTTGCCCTACTTTATATCTTTATCTCAACGTTATTGTTATAATTATTATCATCATCGGCATCATCCTCGCCACCATTATCGTCATCATCATCTCATCATCATCATCGTTATCATCATCCTCATCATCACTATCGTCATCATCATCACTATCGTCATCATCATCCTCATCATCACTATCGTCATCATCATCATCGTCATCATCATCACTATCGTCATCATCATCCTCATCATCACTATCGTCATCATCATCACTATCGTCATCATCATCACTATCGTCATCATCATCCTCATCATCATCGTCGTCGTCATTTTCATCATCGTCATCATCTTCATTACTTTCCATCACAATTTGTACACATTCCATCGAAACTCGTCCTGGGGTAATTATGTGGCTAGTTGTTGAGTGTGCTTGTGCCATGAGTGTGTGCGTTTGGATGCGTGTGTGTGTGTGTGTGTTTGTGTATGTGTAGTTGAATGTGCGTGTGTGGATGTGCGTTTGATTCAACACGTATGTATTGCGATAATTTGCAGGCGTCTGTTTGCTTTCTTCGGCTTGTATGTGTGAGTATGAATGCCCTTGATGTACTCGTGCGTGTTTCTTACCTTCTTTGTTCATGTGGATCTTGTATGCGTTTGTTTGTGCCTTTGCAGTATGCGAGTATGTGGTTGCGTACAAATGTGTGTAACAAATAGACGAGTATCAATTTGAGTGTTTTTAAAAAGGTTTATACTAAATAACAAAACATTACAATATGTGAAATTGACAGTAGTAGTAAACTTTTTATTATGCGAAGTGTAGGCTCGTAAAAGATGTGTCAAAATACGTTCTCTTATGTTTATATCATTAATTTATAATACAGACCTTCGTATGACAACAAACCAATCCGAGAAGTTGGTTAGATCATATCTATCGAACATGAATCAAAATTCAGTAGATTTTCTCCACTACAAATGTTGTTAAACTCCCAGCCATGTTTAACACGATTAGGAAAATTTAACTCTTATTTTCTTGAGTGTTGATGCTATGTTTAAGTTTGCGCAAAAATTCTAGAAGACAAAGTGGGGTTATGCTGCCAAACCATACATGCGAGTTAGGTACAAGTGTTACTATTGCTCTGTACATGAATGTATAAATAATGATGTGATAGCACGTTAGTTCGTATGCAAAGGTAGTTAGTAGTTAGTTGTTAATGTGTTAGTTTAAATCATGTTTGTTAAATGTTTATGAGTTGAGTATTTGTTGTTTGTACGTGTTGTTTGTATGTGTGAACGTGATGTTTGTATGTGTGAACGTGATGTTTGTATGTGTAAACGTGATGTTTGTATGTGTGAACGTGATATTTGTATGTGTGAACGTGATGTTTGTATGTGTGAACGTGATGTTTGTATGTGTGAACGTGATGTTTGTATATGTGAACATGATGTTTGTATGTGTGAACGTGTTGTTTATTTATGTGAACATGTACGTACAAGTCATGAGTAGAAACTCATGTAGCCAACTTGTTCACATTTGTTTCAAAGATTTCATTCGACCTTTTTAACAGCGAATAGATTTTATCAAAAAACCGTAGGTTGATACGCGAGATGAAAAAAGATGTATCGATCTGATCATGCACACACGTATCAGCAGCAGTTTGTTCACGCACACGCACGCATTCATGTACCAGCACAAACCATTGAATAAATACACTTGTCTGTAATAAATAAATGGATAATTAAAAACTTGTATACATGTGTGTGAGTGCGTGAATGTGTTTATTAATTGATGGCTCTGTAAACTAACCAAATGCAAAACAATCTTTTTCAATATGTCACGTCCTGAAAGACAACATCGTTGGGCTTGATGCTTTATTGCTATCATCATCATCATCATCATCACCACTAAGTATAATCATTATTACCACTAAATATCATCATCAGCGCCATCGTCAGCTTATTTGCATGAATTAAAAGCCATCAGCGGCTTATGAAGGAGATCTTCTTCAGAAAGTGTGTGTGTGTTTGTGTGTACCGTAAAGCCAAATTACTTGGAATGCAGACATTTCGTTCGTTCGTTCGTGTATTAACTTCATGCATTATTAGTTTATCGAGAACAATTTAGTCAATTATTAATCATTTTCTAAACCACGCAGACAGACAGGGACACAAACAAACACATATACTAACACAAACTAACACACATACTATCACACAAACAAACACACTCGCTAGCACCCGAACAAACACACAAATGGACAAACACACTCTCACACATACGAACAAAAAATTACACAAATTTATATTATAATTGCGCACAACTGACACTTATTATTTACAAGTAACTACATTAATTGTATATCATGTGTAACAATTATGTACAAATAGCGTCTATGTAAAAATATGGAAAGAATATTTAGGAAGCTTATAAATTTTTTTTAAATTTGTTTTTGTTTAATTTAATCTATAAAATATAAATAAATGAAACGTCATCACTTAATCATTGCAGTATAAATACTGTCAAATTAACGGCTAACTACATGACGAGGATGTGATGAAAGGTCGATAATTCGATAACTATTTTAGGTGTGCAGTTTGAACTGCTGGTGGGTACAAATTAAACATTCAAAAATAATTATTGAAATGAATAAAAGAGGACGAAAAACAGTAAATTGCATTTTATTTAAATTAAATGGAAATATTACACATATTTTAAATAGGAAACTAATCAGTTAGTTGTCAAATGAGACAAATTGATCTCCCAATAGCCAGGTAGTTAGATATTAATTGAAGAGTAATTGTGTCAAGATAGGGCCAGGGTTAAACATTTATGTTAAAAAACAATGATATAATGATACTAAAGAAGTTGGATGGTGATAATGGGATGATTACAAAAGCGATTTCTGGATAATATTGAATGAACGCATAATGCTTAATGATGATGAAATGATGAAGTTTGCAAATTTGTGTGTTTATACCCGAGAACGTTCTAATGTAAATAGAACGGCCACTGTCTATTATTTTCAACCTAATCTACATTTCTCACGCTGTTCATTCGTGTCCATTCAACAATTAAACAATTACTTAATTGTAATAATTAAAATGTTAATAATAATAATGGAAACTATTTTATTAAACATCGAAATCTAAGATGAAATAAAATAGGAACAAATAATATAAAATAGTGCATAAATGAAGCTTTCAGTCATCAGTGCTTGTCAATTAGAACTGAGTAAGAAGATGATGAGATGATATGAAATTAATTGTCCCTGTTGCGATAAATTGAGTGAGAACATTAAGTCGCGCAATTTATTAAACTATTTTTGAAAAAATCTGTTCAAGATGAATTAATTAATGATAGTTTAAATGAATTATGGAAGCCTATCAAAGTTAATTCAAAGGTTTTAATTAAAACGTTAAAATCTTTAAAATCGCTTGACAAGTCAGTTTTTGGTTGTTTGTATTTTTATCTAAATTATGAAGTTTAGATGCAGCAAGATTTGTTTCCACGCAAACCGCTCAAGAATTTCGGTTGTTGACAGTGGCGATATATGATCGGAGCGAACTGAATAGGTGCATTATTGGATGGACTGCCTCGTTATCCTGGTCTGAAACAATTAAATTGAGAATTTGGTTCTGACGTTCCAAATATCCTTCCAGTGCCGTGGTTAAGCTGCACTTTATGAAATTTGTTCATTTGTTTGGCATTGTAAGGGGAATATAAGGCGCTTGTTGATTCTCTCCATCTGAACCAATGGGAGTTTGTTGGCAATCGTTGTGTGAGTGAGTTTAAATGGATTCTCTGGTAATTTTATCGTTCATCTGGGCCAGCGCATAATTTCTGCAGTCTGGATGAGGTTTTTTATCGATCGTGTCAGATTCATTGGTATTGTAACAAAGATATATGGCTGAGATTCATTTCATGTCGTCGTTGTTTGAAGGTCTTGAGCGCCACTTGCAAATCATCAGAATGGATGTTGCTTCTTTCGCGGCAAATGTCGCATTCTTCTTCAATACTTTTTTGCATTTTGCATTTTCTCCATTAAATTCAATTTTAATCTCTCACAAAGCCTCATTTTTGATAATGATAATAATAATAATAATAATTATTATTATAATAATGCGTTTCAAAAATAT